ATACTGAGGAATACATTTTCAGACTGAGACTATTTAGCCAAAGATATACAAGAAACGACCTTTCTTCATATCTTAATTTTGCCGTCATGCCTTTTTTTCTAAAAAGATAGGCGGATTAGTGGGAAAGTAAGGGTTAAAAATAATGTTTAAATAAACCCTCACACATTCTTCGGTAATGCCATCTTTTAGAGAGAAATAAGACCAATTTTCGAGATCTGGATGCTACAATATTGTGTGCTCATGTGATCGATGTTATGTTGGTGAGACATACCAACCTATTCGACATAGATTGGGGGAACACACAAATGCTTGTAAAGGAAGCTGGGTCCAACGGTCAGAAGTGGCCGAACACGCATGCCAGAGACTTGACATGGGATAGATTGGTTTTAAACGCGTTGATTTCGTGATTATGGTACATCTACTAGAGAAGGTTACTCAACCTGTAGGTCTAGTGATGGCTTTAACCTTACTCATACTCGTCAAATGGTCTTAATGTTTTCGTTTTTTAGTTGAGAGTTAGGACTTCTATATGAATTAGTTCCAGCTCTGATAATGCCAATCATCTAATGGACAAAAGCTCAGACTGTTTTCGCCCTAAATGAGGTAGTATGTCTCATGAGTTGTGTCAGCATGGTTGTCATAGTAAGGCTGCATAACGATGGGAATCGGCGATCGTCTTCCGGTGAAATAAATAATCGAATTTCTTCGTCCTGCACGAAAGGAAAGCCTACCAAACAGGAAAAGACATGTTGAGTCTTCTTTTTTAGGCCGCTTAACACTCTCTATCATAAAGTCAATCAGTTTACCATAAATAGTTCTTTTTTATTTTTTTCCCTATTCCTGACTTTCAATGTTTTGCCTAATTGTTTAATTTCAAAGACCTCTAATTTTGCGCCTTGCTGCAGACATATCATAATCAGTTGACTCATTCTTATTTAAGTTCTATCAAATTTTTTGCATATTACTCAATTCGATTAGGGTAACTTGGTTAAACTAATGGCAAATAGAATTTTATCTCTTACAGCAACTTGTGTTATCAGAAATACCTCGGAGACCATCATTTATTTCACTTCTAGCGATCGAAGGTGATACTTCTTTTTCTTGTTTATTTACATAACACACAATCTTAGCGCTAAACAATTCGAACTTTTGTTTACTTGTGCTCTTCTTCCTTTTCCTAGTGCCACCGCTGGTACGTCTTGACAAGGTCGAGGTGCGTGAACGAGAAGGTGCCAGCTTCACGGTTGCCTGTACCACCGAGGGTTTTCCAGAACCCGTTCGGTACTGGTCCCGCGAGACCGGTGGTCTCTTCCGTCTCGGCGTCAGTGTCGACCAACAGTTAGTCTCACTCTGCCATCTTTTTGTTGTTGTACCGTTCAAAAAACTTTCGGCTTGACAATCCTTTAATCAGGACGCTCCGGTTACACTCCTGAGTCCTCTTCAACAGGACCATCAGCTAAACCAAAAATCTCTCTTCTTTGGGCTCCACTTCGCTGTCGTGTCAGCGCTTGCGAATTGTGGGACTCATGAGTTCTTACAGTGCAAGCGACCTGATCTGAGACAGTTTGGTAATATGAAAGACATGCGAAGAAAAGTTGGGTTTTGAGGAATCTTTTGTTTGATAATTGTTGAGCATACTTCCATTTCGAGTGAAAGTGTTTGGTGAAGACATTCGAAGGTCGATCCCACCAGAAGACAACGGCGGATTCCTCTTGACCAGCTGTCAATTGGCTTTATTGGAACAAATTACATGACCTGATTAGAACCAAAACAAGGACTAGACAATCCCTTTCTCGTCTATTTTCTCAAAAAGACTTTGTCAAATTGCATAGGTGGCTGAGCACAACAGTGTCTGCAAAAGCTGTTGAGATCAAAAATCGGATCTGGCTGAGCACAGGCCAGAAACGGGACACGAGATTGAATGATCTCAAACTTGTCGTTATGCTGATTATGGTATGTTTGTGGCTAAACGTAAAATGAGAGAAGCCATCGAAATAAACCGAATAGGAAATACATTGAATGTAAGGAATGCTGTTAAGAAGATAAGTAAAAATTGCTTGTGCTTAATTAATGGACTGATGGACAAAGAGGGAGTTGAGCTGCCTGCAAAAAGGAGGCGACGCAACTAGTTTTTTCTTGTCTTGGTTCTAAGCATAGTCACTTTTCTGTACTTTTAGCTCACTCTTTCTCTCTTACATGAAGACAAATAAATGGCTCATCAACATAATCAGACGTGTGTCCGACCTTGTGAACTCGGAGTAATGGTTATAACATGTATGTAGAAGTGGGGAGATAGTGGTCATCAAACCTTGATGGCCGAAAACAGACGTTACTTTTGCTGTCCTAATTACTTTGAG